CCTCAACGAAAGCTGTGAACAAACGCATGCATATTAAAGTTTCAACTTTCACATCGCATGAAAATGCTCGTCGGAAAAACTCTGAATTTGTCGTATTTTATGAATCTGTCATGTGATTTACCACCGCTGGTACAACACACTGATACAAAATTTAGAGCTATATGAAAGTTGCATGCCCATTTATGGGCATGCAACAAAAATTGCTTCTGAATCACAAATATCAATCATGGATATATGATACAATAAGGCTGGTTGAACAAAAAGAACTGTCTGGCCTATTTTTCGTTCTTTTTAATCTTGAAATACTTGTTCAATTTAATTTTGGCCAAAATTCCAGAATCAGGACTACAATACAATACAATAATACAATAATTTATTGAACTCTCCCCAACGTGGCTTTTTGGAGCCAATTAACATTTACAAAAATTATAAGATATACTAACATGAAATTCTAACTATAACTAATTACTGGTATGGATGTAAAAATTGTTAAAGGGCAAATGCTACTATGAATGATTTCCTAAAAGATATTTACGTCATTTATGTTTAAAAATGTTAATTGATGAACTACATTTAATGTTCTCTGGAAGTTTGTTCCATAAGGAAACAGCACAGTAATAGAATGTCCGTTGGCCAGTTGCGCTCCTGAAAAAGGGGATGTTTAAAGAACTTGAGTTCCTTGTGCAACGTCCACTGATGTCGACTCTCCTCACAAATTGTTGAGACAAAGATTCCAGTGTTATTCCGTTTAGACATTTGAATGTCAAAACAGCGTCACGGTAGAGTAAGTACAGTTTAACGGGAATCCAGTGCAGTTCAGTCAACAAGGGTGTTATTGTGGTCAAATTTTCTTGATGTAGCAAAGTTCTGTACTACCCCTATAGCAGGGCATTTGACTGTGGTTTCTGCCTGTTTGGGCAGGCATTTGACCAATTATTTTTTCAAAAGTCAAATTCCCTGGGGGGGGGGGGCTGATTGCAGTTGGATTTGACTCGTACATTACATTACCTTGCTTTTATAGAATTTAGTTCAGTTTCACATCCCCAACAGAGTAACAAAAGAAAGCTTATATATACTTTGTGTGATATTCCCTTTGTGTCATATTCAAATAAATGGTTATAAAACTTGTTAGTATAAATATTTAAACAAATATTGACATTTCAAGCTGGCAAAATATATAAAAGCTATTTATAGAACTTGCTGAGTCAACCTCTTTTCCAACCTATATATAGAAACCATCATACAAATGTTTACAACTAGGATGACAAATGTGTAGCAAATTTTAGAAAAATTTGACAAATACACAAATTTTGGAAATAACTGATAACTTCAAGTCTGCAATTGATAATCGGGAAATAACTTGTGGCTTGTTCTTAGACTTTATCCAAAGCATTCGACACGGTCAATCATCAAATCTTAATACTGAATCAGATTTATTAACATTGACTTCTGCAGTACCACAATGTTCACTTGGGTAACTTCTTTTTATATTATATATAAATGATATAGCAAACTGTTTGAATACTTGCGGATGATACCAATGTATTTTATTCTAGTAATAGCATTGATGATATTGTAATGAATGAAGAATTACAAAACACATTTCAATACTGTAATGTGAATAAACTATCAATAAATATTAAGAAAACTGGATATGTACACATGAGTAAAGTTTGAGAACATCAAGTTTGACTTAATTTAATTAATTAAAGAGTCTATCGAAGTTTCAAATTCTCAATCTGTCCGTTTTGATACTAAATTACTGATCATTCAAATCTCTCTCAAAATTTGCAAAGATCTAGATAAAATAGAACACAGTCATGGCTCCTAGCTTGCTTAACAGTTGATTAGTCAGATTATGATCCTTGAATGGTGGGCCGAGTTGGTTAGTGGGCTGAGATGACTGTAAAGCACTAATTTCATGGTAATCACTTCCTGTAGAAAACAACATGCCACACACATAAAAATTGGAAATTTTGAACAGAAAAGTTATATCAAATATTTAGGTATTTATATCGATCAGAATTTGAGTTATGTCTACAATAAAATAGTAAAGAAACACAGGAATAATTGGTAAACTTAGGTACTGTAAACCACAGTTAATAAAATAGGATGGTTTGGCTGGCCGGCAAACTTGAAAGGGATTAGGCGACGGCGGCAAACTATGTTGAGGATCAAAGGAAAAAGATGTCACGTGACGGGTTTAGTGCATGGCTTGAGAACAATTACTATAGGATTATATTATAGTTTCCAATGTTTTCATGTTTCATCGCGAAATAACGGCACTAATAACACTTATTTTTGTCCTAAACTAAAGTTATATAATAGAAAGGGTTATGGACGACGATTTAGAGGCGATTGTATCGATTCCATGGGAACTGGAAGGCGAAAGTTGTTCGAGCAACGTTGACGAGGAGTTGGTGTTATTTGAACACAAAGAAACCTGCGAGGATATTTTCTCCTATAATTTTGAAATCGCGTTGTCTTTTATTGAAAAAAACGAGGCAACTATGGAAGAAGAGGTTGCAGACGCTGTGAGCGAAATATCAGACGAAAAGAACTTTCCTTGCGAAAATTGTGGCAAGATTTGCAAGTCGAAAGGTGGCTTGACGAGGCACTTTAATGCAAAACATGGGAACAAAACTACAGCGGGTAAAGAGAATGTTTCTTCATCTCTTACAAAAGAGGAGTTAAAATCCATTGTCGATAAAGTTAAGACAAAAATAAAGGATGATGGTTTCTGGGACAGTGAAATGACTTCGAATATTGCAAGCATAACATCGAACGATTCACTATACAATACTATATTGCCAATTTACGAACAATTTTGTCGAAAACTAAATCAAGATTCATTCTTAACAGACTTTTATGAAATTATACCAAATTCGTCTTGCCTATTGCAGTCTGAAAATCAACAATTATGCAGTCTTATAATGATTTCAATACCAGACCATTTAGTGACATTGTCGAAAGGTGTTACTAACTGTGCTACAAGCAGTAGACAGGCTGAAATTTCAGAACTTAATGAGAATGAACGTGGACCCCTGGCATACATAGCAGGGTATGTGCTGTCAAATCTTAGGAAAAAGTCCAAAAACAAAGTAAATGATGAGCTTCAAATCATTTTGGAACATATGATCAGTTCTGGTTTGGAAAATGCATACATTAAGGCACGCAGTCGAGGAGGTCTGGTTACACCATGTGATGATTTGGTCAAGCTACTAGAGGTTGTAGAGATTTCATTCAGACAGTTTATAGGGAAACAGCCCACTGTTGTCAAGAGCATTCCTTGTGACAAATTATGCAATTATGCACTTGACTCGCCATTGTTAAAATCTCTTTGGGACAAAATCTCTTAGCAAACAAACAAATAAGCTTTGCTTGGAGAATATAGTCAAACTCTATTTAAGGGTTCATAGCTTTTCTTATGCAAAAGACTACATAAGTAAATTCAAAATCCAGCAAAAAGCAAAGAAGAGCAAAGGGCTTAGAAAAGAACTGAAAAGATATAGTGAGGATAAAAAGTAAATTTGACTTTGTGATCCTTGGGCTTGGATAAATATAAATTTGCTAATTTCACAACAATTGATATAATTTATTTGATTGTCAGCCATGCCAAAAATGCTTTTAATTAATGTAGCCAATAATTAACACCCCACACTGGACCCCTGGGGATAATACTAGGGCATAGTCAAGGTATGGGATAGGGCAATGGGTGCTTGCCATATCGCCATGTTACAAAAAGTCAATATGCATGGATACATACACATTTTAGTCAGATCATTTGAATAGGGCTCATTAATTTTATGTTCAGTTGAATAAGAAGCTATTTAGCTGTTTTGTGTACAATATACAAATTTAACATAGCAATATGCAGGGGCGTCACAAAGGGGTGTGTTTGACACCACCGTCTTGACACCACGGTCGGCAAAACTGGTTGACTATTGTTTCAAATTTTAGAAATATAAAAGGTTTGCATATGCATGTTGGGACAGAGTTTTTAGCTTTTTGCTTATGTTAGTTGGGAAAAATTTTAAGCTTTGCTTATGTTAGTACAGAACATTTTTTTGACCTCCCCCTATCTAAATACATTTGAGATACTAATTTATTTGCAAGATGATGGTACTACTGGTAGGGAATAATTATATGAGCAGAGACTGTTTCGCCCAATATCAGGGCTCATCAGCATGCCTAGGAAACATACTACCATACTTTATGGAAAACATGATTCCGGACATGGACAGCCTTGGGGAGGCTGAAAAATGAGCCAACTGGTTTTAAGGTGCCAGTGACCCGCCTTTCACACCTTCGGCCCAAAAGGAGTTTGGTTAGAAATGAATGACTATTTGGGACATTTCATGGACATGCAGTTGCTCAATTTGCACATCATCCCTGTCAATTCTAACCCTTTACCCCCCTCCCCTCTCTAATCCCCAAACTTAAACCTCATATAGTGTGCAAAGAATATCGATATAAAAACAGACTGTATTTACACCTAAAACATACATGTTCATATCAACTAAATTCAAGCAGTTCCAAAAACCGATTACTGTCAGTAAAATACTAAAGTAGTGTGCATCTTGGCACATTAAGAGTCACTGGGTTAATGCTAGACAATGGCTGACATAGTTTTGTTAGTCCATAGCAGAAGCCCAAGCACTGAGGCACTGACAAGTAAAATCATCTGGATTAAACAGATATTATCATCTGGATTAGCCTATAAATGCCTGTTGGGAATTTATGCAAGGTCTGACAGGAATAAAACTTCTGGTGGTATGATCAGGGACAGTGCTCTGAGCATACAGAAAATTCAGTGGTGTAGCCAGCCCGACAATTTGGTCATGCTATGCAAATGTCAAATCATCATTATTCATTTCTTCAGAAATCGATTGTTTTCACGGTTTATGAACACAGGTATATATGACCAAATTGTCGGGCTGGCTACGCCACTGAGTATATCAATATAATATTATCCTAATCAACTAGTAATAGGACATTAGTCACTTCTTTTTCTGACGTTTCTTCACAGGCTCATCTGAAACAGTATACCACTTCGCCTTACCATATCTCCCTCCAGTATTACCACTCACAGATGGTGCAATGTCTCTCTTAACAGCAATGGTTAAGTCATTGTAGCCAAATTGTTCTGCAGAAGGGTTGTCCGATCTTCCTCTCTGAGTCCTTTGATGACCAAAATAGTCCTCGATGACATCCTGCATGAACCGCTCTGAGAGAACATACTTAAACCCTTCAGAAAGGAGGAACTTGATAGCTTCAACGTGGGAGCGAACTGATATCTTAAAGCCTTCATATGTCTGATGAGACAAAAACAGCTTTTCTCTTTCAACCGGTGTGAAAGTCCCCTCCCTTGTTTTAATGCTTGTCTTCCAATCATCAAAATACTTCATGAAAGTATCCTTCATCCATACAAGTCTTTTATCATCCACACTTTCATACGGCTTGGTCCGCTCATTTTGTTTCCTTTTAATGTTCAAAATCATTAACCATCTGGCAAAACATTGCAGTACCAACAACACTGGGGTCATCAATCTCCAACAAACATGTTGAAACAGTTCTGCTCAACACCTGAACAGCTAATTTCACCTTCATCTTTGAATAGCTTGTTAGCAAAACATGGTCCAATGTCAGTTTTGGCAATCTGTGTAGTACAAAATTTTGATCATTGTAATACATGTCTGCGATATGTCTAAACAGGAGATATTTACCATCATTCCACATCAATCGACTGTGTGATCCAGATCCAGAATTGTACAGACAGTTTCTGGCAGTTTTGATCAAATGAGGCACATCTGCAAAGAAATGGATCATGCGAGACAGACAAAAAGATTGGTTGTTTTGTACACCAAACCATCTGGTAATTTACCACCTAGTTTGGCATGAAGTGCAAAGAACTTTCGGTTTGGAGATGCACCATTGTTCACTGCTGCAATCACCCATAGCCTTACTGTCGTCTCAAGAGCTGCAACAACTTTCCAAAATAGTGGCATTAATTGAAAAGATGTCACATTGCCAGTAAAATAATAGGCAACTACATGCTTCAGATTAGTACGTAATCCTCTTACTAAAAATGCCAATGCATGGGATGCAATTGGATCAGTGTCTTCATCAACATTAGCGAAGGTTGTCAAGGGATCGCCGAGATCAATGTAGCCAATCAGTTCGCCGGAAGTTTTATCAAAAACAAGGTTTTCTTGTATTTTCATTTCGTCCATTACAACTGCTACATATTTCTGAATGCCAGCATAGTGTGATGTTTTATCTTTTAATTCTTGAATATTCTCTTTGGTGATACCAGCTCCAGGTTTGAAATAGTTTTTGTAATCTCGGAGAACACGCTCACTTGGTAATATGAGGGCCCCACTCTCTCTCAACTCTCTATATGCCGATCGGGATTTGCAATGTATTGACAAAGCAAACCTGATAATTTGGGGGTGATATCTGTGTGCCATTTTTTTGGTTTGCAGCAAATGCATTTGCTGTTCCCAGAAGAACTTCATGTGTGGTGTCGACTCAAGGTTCTGACCACTCATGATGGTTAGGAGATCTTTCTCTAGGGGCTCGCTCACACTAACACCATGCTTCTCGATTCTGCTTTCGAGATTTTTAATCTTTGTTTAAGATCTGCTAACTCCAGTCGGTCAGCTACAACTGTTGCGTGAAGCTTTTCACCACCACATGCTGCCAAGGGGGCTTTACCTTTTGCAGGGGCAGAAGATTTACGTTCTTTTCTTAATTGTTGCTTTTGTACATTCTTTTGCAATGTAAGGCAGGTTTTGCAAATCACTTGCTCTTCACTCACATCTTCATCAAACAGCACATTACATGAAATTGAATGCAATATCACCATAACTCTGTAATTTGTATCCATACCAATGCTTGCTGGTACAATATGGCGAACGACTGGTGGCTGGTATCAACATCCTTTGCAATAGAGTTTAGATATTCATTCTGTCGTAAACCTTTGCATATCTTAAATTCCCCATTGTGAAGAGACAGCAAAAGTTCAGCAATTTCAGCAGAGTTCATCCGTCGTCTACGGCTTGAATACATCTTGTGATCATCGGGGAGAAGCCAATTGTAAACATGTAACGAAAAATGTAAACATGAATCTATAATGAGCACAAATTTGGAAATCGAATACTTGCTGTCCTGAAGTTCAATTCTCATTTCATCATTGGTACATGCTGTTATACTCCAAGGATCAAGCGTAACACCCTTAACATTTGAACAAAACTCTTCAAACGTTTCTTTTTTCTCCACGGCCACAGGTGGCGAAGCTGATGTAGACGGGCCAGCTTCTTGTTGTCTTTCAAGGACCCAACGTGTGCTTGGCTTGGTTTCATGGCTTTTTAACGGCAGGTTTTCAGTTGGAACAGCTCCTGTTTCTAACAATTTCCTCTTTCCGTCTACAAAGGGACACAAAATCAATTACTAGACTAGTATTCACATACAATATATAAACCGCAAATATTTCAACCATATTGATTAAATGTGCAATAAGACAAAGGCCTAGCAATTACAATATTTCGCGCAAAGACAAAAAGTCAATACTTACGATCAGATATCAATTCTGCTTTAAAATGACGCTCACAGAGGAAAATTTTATTTTTGTTGATTCTCTGCTTCAATTCGGGAGTCATTTCCCTTGTTCTTAGTATCACATGCAGCCATTCTTTGCGCGCAATCTCCTTCGAAGCTTTTGTCTCTTGTCCATCACCCACTCTAGGACAAGGTAACTTAAATAACGAAAAGACCACTCTTTCGACTTGTCGAACAGCCATACAGCGCACAGTTGGCACCCGGCATAGCGTAGCTACAGAAATTTTTCCAAAATTCCCTAGAAAAAGCAGTTAACTCGAAGGTTTTCGGTGTAGCAGTGCGTCGCCGCTCATATTGCAAAGCATTCACTGTTTATCGCTGATGCACTAAAACCGTCATGTGACCTCAATAATCAAGAACAATAACATATTTTGGGGGGGTGTCCAGCTAGCCAAACCATCCTATTTTATTAACTATATGTAAACTTAGGTACTGTATGCGAAAGCAGGTTTACTGTAGTTTAATTTTTCCGTATATTAATTATGGGTTAATGAGTTAGAGTAATACATATGCTACAAAATTCTAAAAATTAAAATCGTGCCAAAATAAATGTATAAGGAAAATATTTTTTATAGGGAATTATGAAGATGCCTCAGTATACTACAACCTACTGGGTATACTTAAAATTGATAATGTTTTTAAACTAAAAATAGCTGTTTTCACCTTTAAGATTATTAATATGAACGAAAAAGTACCTACAATACTCTCTGATATCATTGGTGCTGCATCATCCTGTCATTCACACCACACCAGATTTGTTAGTAACTACAATATTAAAAAACCAAAGGTAAGAACTAATTATGGAATCCAAATGTTCCATTCACTTCATCAAAAATTTGGGAAAATATAGAAACTAGTCTTAAAGAGTCGCACTCGATACTTCAATTTAAGAAGAAATATTAGGCCATAGGATGAGCATCCAAGAGATGCAATTCCGTTGCACCCCTCGTCTAACTACGTAATTTTCACATGAATAAATAGATAAAAACTTACTTTATCAGAATCTGTTGCTCCCCAAGCGAAACAGGTGCACAATTGGGAGAAAAATCCCTCCAAAGTTTGATATTTTCGTGCTTCGAAATACTTGAACCGCCATTCTTTTGGTAGCAAGTTTGTTTAAGTTTAGATATAGGTAATGAGAACCATATTGGTGTCCTAGTAATAAATGTATGCCACAATAGTCTCTAAATGTTAGGGAAAAATGTAGTGTGAAATATGATAGTGTGATGGCCTCGTGTTGTATGCACAATGTATGCTTGTGAAAAATTGTTGTATATGATAAACCTTGGAATAAAAAAGTAAAGTAAAAAACCACTTGTATGGGTATAAATGTGAACCTAAGAAATATAAATGTAGGTGTAGATTTTTTGAACATAAAATAGAAGATGCGTGTGTGAAATTGTAACGGTAAAATATCCTGTGGTGTAAACAAATTTTTTTATCCAACTCGAGGAGTATGATCTCGCTGTACTAAAAAGCTTGTATGGAGGCATGTAAAATATAAAGCGAGAGAAAGAAATAGTCATGTGTGTAAAATACAGTATCCCTGTACGCGGCGTTTCATCCTTCATGGACTCGTCAACAGGGACTGGGGTTGGCACATGTGAGAGAGATAGAAATTAGAAGCCGATATGGATTACAATGAGAAAATAAAAACATAGCACTATATGTGTATAGTTATAGTATAAAATGTCTTACCAAATTTGCTGTTGTATTTGGTTAAACCAACACGTTGGGCCATGGTTGTGTAAATTGTTTACTGCCGTGTAACACAGGAAAATTCTGGAAAAATCTTTGTGAATTGAATGTAAACCTTGTAAAAAGCTTGTGCGCCTGTAAAGCTCGTCTTTTGTTGCGTAAGTAAGCAGAAAGGGACGAGAAATTGTAATTCAGCTGTATAAATTGCGTGTTAGGACATGCGCAGTTGGTGAGATGTACATTTGGGTGTTGTGTGGATAGTAGCGGTTCTGAGGGAGCATTTTTGGGAACTGTGAACTTACCCCGGTCTGTGTTTTACAGACTATAAAAATAGATTCTCACTGTGGGGTTTTCCCCAATTTCCTCTGCAAAAACAACAAAATAAAATCACAGAATACTGATCAAACCTTGTAATATAAATACACCCACTTAAATATTGTTTAAAACACATTGTATATTTTGCTTGCTCATATGCTAAATCACTTAAATTCATTTGCTTGTGTTTCAAAATACCGTTTTAACGTTTAATTCTACTTTATATAACATCCTAATTCAATACAAATTTGTGTGAGGTAAAAAACTCACCTGTATCAAACAGGAGGGAGAGTAAAAAATATATATACATACAATTTACACGATCAAGGAACAAATAAATATTTTGCGGAAATATTCGTGATTTTTAATTGGATTTTATTGCAGAAGCAAAATTTGCTTCCCAGAAAGGAAACTATTTCCTACCAAATTCAGAAGCATTTGATGAAACACTCTTTATCTGTTTGCCGATGCTGATAAGACAATATGACATACCGAATGATTGGAAAGACAAATAATATGACAACAGTGTTTCCCAGTTCATTCCGGGCTTTAGGGGATATTTATATACACTCCTAGGAAAACCTCTGATTGAATCTTTAATGTATTATTGAATAACTATGCAAGATGTTTGGCACTTCTTAAACTGTGCGTTCCACCATCGCTTAGTATACTCTATGGATACCATTCCTGGATTTGGACCAACTTTTCCATTCGCTCAGTTGCGAAAAACCATGGTAGCATTGATCTAACTGCTGAGAGATGTAGATCCCAGTCGTTTTCTCTTGTTTCTCAAAAGTACATTAAAAGAACTTCTACCATTTGAATGTAATTAAGCCAGAGAGCAAATGTTGTTTTTTTGTCTGCCTCTGATTTAGAAATCATAGCGATAGCCATCTCCAGTTTTCCAAAATTCTCTGACATCACTTGTGGTAGGTAATCTTCACTTGGGAATGTCTCAGCTAAGTTTTCTGTAATGCAAAATGAATGTTTATTACATTTTGAAGGCACCTAGTGACCATTTAAGCAATGTTATTTAGGCATTTAGCCAATGGCAATGATAATCACCTATTTGTTTGATCACAAGATTATGAAATGTCATTTAGATAACCTGTTCAAACTTGATGAAAGTCACTAGTGTTTTCATCACGCATGCAAAATTACTGGAATATAATCACTAAGTATGTTATGCTTGGTTAATAATTTTATTCAAATCAGCAAGCGAAAACATTCTGTTACGTCTCAACTCATTACATTTGAGAAGCCTATATAAACAACTTGAGCTTGTGTCCCACCCTTGTCCCATCCAAACACTCAAAAACAATTAACAAAAACACTTGCCCTAGGCATTCTGGTTTTCAGACATTGTTTTCTCGTGTTTGGATATCCTGGTAAACAATCGCTCTTGTTGTTCATATGTATATTACATCAATCATAAACATTAAAAATTAAAAAGGCAAATGTTTCGAGACTTCCTTGCTGTGTGAATAAACATCTAAATTTGAAACTCACCAATCAAAGAAACTGTTTCATCCCTTTCCGCTGGTGTAAGTGACTCAAGGTATTGCTGAAACAACAGTCTGACCAATGCCTCGTAGACAACTTTGTGCGACCTAACATTTCTGTTGTAATGCTTGCCAGACATTACTCCATTAATGGATCCAGCTGCTACAACTTCAGACTCAATGAGAATGTCCTATTAGAAAATGATTGACAATTTAACCCGTTCAGTGGCAGCACTCTCCACTTGACAAGTAAAATCGTCTGGCGTTAGACAGAGTAAAATACGTAATAAAGTAGGGCGCATTGCCACTTGGAGGGTTTTTGGTCAGACCTAATTGGAAAAAATAAAGATATTAAAAATACTATACCGTCCTGTAATCCAGCATCTTTGAAGAGTTTTGATATAGCTCCACAGAATGCCATTGCCATGTGGAAATCTCTAAGTCGGACAACAAATTGGCCAAGGTATCTTTCATCCTTTCATCTTATTTGTTGAATTTTGGCATAAATGGCCTTGATTCAATATTTCGTTTACTGTTGACAGTTCTGTAGGGGAAGCAGCAATTACAGGTAGATACCCAAGTTTTGACTCAGTTTGTTTGTGCGGTGTTGTAGCTTGTATTGTGTGTCTTGTATGCAGTGCTTATGGTAGTTAATGGTTGTGTCTAATAGATTGAGGGAGGCAATTCGTAAGGATATTCTCCCAGCGTCTCTAAACATTTTGTCCATGTAGTATTTGCTCTTGTGGTGTATCGTCAGGCCAGGAGGTAATGTATTTGTTTTCCTGTGTTCTTGTAAGTTTTCCAGGTTTGTAAGTAGTTTGTTGTGTCATATTTTAAGTCCATAAAAGATGTTAGTAAGTGTTTTGGCACGTCGATAAAGTCAATACTGTTATGTGTATGGTTGTGCATGTTGTCCTTGTTGTGAGATTGGTGTTGGTTAGTAGAACTGTTTTGGTGTGAGTTGGCGTCATTGTTATTCGCCTCTTCAGTTATGTCCATGTCTACCTCATCAGTGTTTGGTCTGTCCATACACTGTTCAGTAATGTTTTGTTCAATGCTGGGTTCGTTTATATGTTGTTTGTCAGTGTCTGGTGATCCGGTGTTTTGTTCATGTTCATTTGTTGCTTTGTCCTCCATGTCATACAGACAAAGTTCATCTATTTCTAGACTGTTGTTCATAGTGAAGTTTTCGTTATAGTTGTCAGAGTTGTCACCAGCCAAAAGGGCCTCCTCATCAATTTCGGTCATATCAGGGATTAGGGTTGGGTTAGGGTCTTGGTAGGTTTGTAAAGGGAAATGGGCTATAATATAATTGTAAATTATTAAAATGGTATAAAAATCCCCTGTAAGTATCCATGTTACTCTGTGTAAACAAATGTGTGAGTAAAAAGGTATTGTGAGAGGCAAGGTAGATTGTTACAGGGATGCCTATGAACTTTGATCTTTTAACTCCATTAATGGATCCAGCTGCTACAACTTCAGACTCAATGAGAACGTCCTATTAAAAAATGATTGACAATTTAACCTGTTCAGTGGCAGCACTCTCCACTTGACAAGTAAAATCGTCTGGCGTTAGACAGAGTAAAATACGTAATAAGATAGGGCGCATCAGGGTGCATTGCCACTTGGAGGGTTAACATATTATTTTTTGGTCAGACCTAATTGGAAAAAATAAAGATATCAAAAATACTATACCGTCCTGTAATCCAGCATCTTTGAAGAGTTTTGATATAGCTCCACAGAATGCCATTGCCATGTGGAAATCTCTAAGTAGGACAACAAATTGGCCAAGGTATCTTTCATCCTTTCATCTTATTTGTTGAATTTTGGCATAAATGGCCTCAATTCAATATTTCGTTTACTGTTGACAGTTCTGTAGGGGAAGCAGCAATTACAGGTAGATACCCAAGTTTTGACTGGGGATGTATGTTTCTATTGACAGCTAGTCTGGTGTTAAATCCTGTCCAATTTAGAATTTGCACTGCTCCTACCAAGGTATCTGCATAGACAGAATGCAAGGTCATTCTTCTTAGCATCAATCTGAGGTAATATATGATGTTCTTCCTCGATTTCCTTATTTTGCATGGCATCGTTTAAATTAACAGTTTTTCTTTTTCCAAGAAAATAAGGATTAATGTGTGTGATGGTGCTGGAAGGGATCTTGACCTGCGAATGACCTGATATACCTGATATCTGCTGGGAGGGATCTTGACCTGATATCTCGTCTCTGTAACAAAGTACTTGTACTTTGCTCCCTTTGAATGATAATGCCCTCAGTTATGTGAGTTGTCCCTTTGCTAGATCTAGTTTCTTCTGAGAAATCATCATTTTCCCATGCAAGAGTAGTTGGAACATCACTAACAAAGCCTAGAGGAATAGGAGAATCATTGGATATATTCATCTGTACAAGGACAGTCTCATGGCACAATACAAAGGAGTGTGACATGCAATGTCCCAAGCCACTCAACAGAGAAAGTACTGAGGCTGAACCTGTCAGTTGTCTAAGTGCCATGGCAAGTGCTATGCTCTTGGGCATAGGATTCCTTCCCCCAGATGCTAGATTCACAAGGTCTTGTGTGATCGATATTAGTTTGGCACTGTTCTTGCCCTCGATTGGCACATACTCATTTAAAGTTGGCTCTGAAGAGAATTCACAAATCCAAGCCAATACATTAAAAAGTTCACATGGAACAACTTTTCGCACATTATCCATTGTCAAATCAGATGCCAATGGTGGCCAAGGAAGATTCAGTTCTGGTATTTATTGCACCTTTTGGCAAAGAATCAATGCAGCATTGTATAGAATTTGTAACTCATTGACTTTAGAATTTCCCTCAGTTTCTGTGTTGGAATTCACATCATCACCATCAATGGTACAGCTCTCTTCATCAAAGTCCTCACCATTGTTTTCAGACTTAATTGACATATGTTCCTCAACCAATTCAGAAGAATCCAAATTTTCCACATATACAATCTCACTAACATTTTTCATTTTCGGTACACAGAACACTAGTTGGGGATAACTTTTCATCAGTCATTGCTTGAGTTTAAAAGCTCTATATTTAAATGTGTCCACATTCTCAGTGTCCTCAGCAATGATAACAAATTTCTCCAGCAAATCGTTCATATACTTTATTTGCTTATTTCCGATGACCTCCGTCTCAATTACATTTAAGTTTGGCGCATTTTGACCTACACTTAAGAAATTTCTTAAGCCTTTGGCGTGTAACTTTGCAAAGTTGCTCCATAACGCCATCAAAATGCATAAAACATGAGGATATTCGAGTTTTATAAATATCTTCAGCCATGATTTATTTGCATAACTGAGCATGTTTCCACTTCGAAGCATCTGTAAATCTATGGCAGGCTCAAAGGAGAATGTATTACTTGCTAAAGTCCTGCGAATATACGGCAGCATTTCACTTGCGATAGTAACTTCTAGTATATAGTGCTGTACTTCATATAGAAATTAAAAGCTGTTGTTGGCACTCAATTGATTATTGTCTTTTATTCTTCTGAAGAAATATTCATATTTTGGACAAGTATACAGTCTAGTGTCTTGCCCATGCATTACACTGTAAATTTCAGGGCGTAAAAGTTGCCCCAAAATATGGGCTAATATTTTTGTCCAATAAATGCCCCTATTTTTAGGGGCAATTTTTACTCTTCTCAAAATGGGGTAATTTCTACCCCTCCCATGGGAGTAAGTTTTACACCTCTCCTAAAGAGTAATTTTTACCCCATATAGAGATAGGGGTAACTTTTACACCTCTCTTACGGGAGTATTTTTTACCCCATATAAAAATAGGGATAATTTTTACTCCCCAAAATAACACTGCAAGGAGAGCAATATAATTTGTGCATGCAACACTTACACGAATTGCCTTAAGTTATTTTAACAAACATATCACTCAAATAACAATCAATAAATGCTATATTTGTGAAATTCACAAGTGAATTGACTGTTACTAAATAAATGCTATATTTGAGAAATTCACAAGTGAATTGACTATTACTTAAACTACATCTAATACAATATAATCATTCAAATACAGTGCAATTAATAAACCATGCATACATGCGGTATAAAAGATTTAAACAATACCGGTCACAACAATTTGAAAAGGAACCAAGATACAAATATTGAAAATTCCAAGATGGGGATTAAAACAAGACTTTATTACAGGTATTCATGCATGAAAAAATTAAAACATTAATACCAGCTTATGTTGTGTCGTGCATGGTCACCATGCACGCTTGCCTTTCAAGCTATAACCTGGGTTCAATCATTGGTTGGGCCACTATACTTGAGGTCTTGCAATAATTGAGGCAATGGGGCAGCAATTTATTATATATACTCAATCAATATATCTTGGTTTTCACAATATGTTTATCTTCAGTTAGATCACCAAAGCTATAGCAACGTGCATGCAAAAAACAACCTCACAACTATATATTAAACATCATATATATTAAACATCAACTATATATTAAATGTCACTCCCAATATCCCAAATATCCTGCGATTACTCAACACTTGATGAGCTGCAAGATTTCATTGAGCAATCGTTTCAAAACGTGATGTCGCAGAACAATAACAGTATGCCTTCTGCACAAGTTAATGATTGCTCCACCCCACGTCGTATACAAGTGGATAGTAACTCGGCTACTATAGAGGAACAGTTCACTTTGTTTATAGAAAAAATTGAATCGAAGGTTGTAGCTATTACAGCTAAATTTTCAGAACAGATCGAAACTATTCACAAAAGTAAACAGGACTTATGTAAATTAACTAAAGAAAATTTGAATTTGAAGTCACGTCTTGCATTACTAGAGGCGAAAGTTTTCTCCGAGAATAAATCTACCTTGCCAATAGGCCCCGACCAAAGATTGGAGAGTAATGATCCTGATTCCGTGACGAATACAATTAACATCTCAAACAAAATTATTAGTGAACTACAAAAGCTTAACTTAGCTCGCTTGAGTCTTGCTGATTTGGAAGCCATAAGCTACCTCACAGATGGTCTGGACAAGGTCCTTCATTCTCGTCCTTCGACAGGAATAATTATCGCTGATATTTTAACAAACTGAATTTAAGACGCCTATGTAACCGCTTTAACCTAAAAAAAATGGTTTCGACTCCCACAAGAGGTAATAACATCTTAGACCAGATTTTGACCAACATGGCTGACCTCTATTTACCTGCCAAACACCTACCCCCCTTGGGTCGTTCTGACCACCAATGTTTGCTGTTATCCCCCAAAATGTCAACAAACTCCCCCTACCTCCAAAAAAGTTAGACTACATAAACCCGAAAACAAACAAACATTGAGTAGAACTGTTGCCCTCCAAAACTGGGACAATGTTTTAATGGCAACAGATGTGGATGATAAAGTCGAAGCATTTAATAGAACGATACTCTCTTTGCTAGACAAGGCTATGCCAGAAGTGACAATCCGAATGCATACATCAGATAAACCTTGGATTACCCCAAAAATAAAGGCACAGATTAAAGCTAGGCAAAAGGCTTACTGCCGCGGTGATAAATCCAAGTACGACCAATTATGTAAAAAGGTCTCCAAGTTAATTCGGAATGCAAAACAATCGTTTTATCACACCGAAGGGAGAGATCTTCGTCAAAAAGATCCTGCAAAATGGTATAAAACTGTCTATACTCTGTTGGGTGCTGAAACGAATCATAACTCTTTACAAACTCCATCTAATGAAGATCTGTCTAAGGTTGCTGAAAACCTACAAACTGCTTTTACAAACCCATGGCAAGATATCAATGTTGACCTCCCGGACATAAATGAAGTTAACCACTTACTTAAGGATACGTCACCACCGCTACCTTCCTTAGGGCAAGTACGGTCCTGCCTAAAGCACCTTAACCCAAAGAAAGCAACAGGGATAGATAAAATCCCTGCCTGGTTTTTAAAGCACTACTGTGATGATCTTACGCCAGTGATACATAGTATCGTAACAGGCAGCATTACCCAATCCAAGTATCCTACTGCGTACAAGCATGCAATTGTAACTCCGGTACCAAAGATACATCAACCCAAAGATATAAACAACGATCTCAGGCAAATTTCTGTGCTTCCTCATCTAGCTAAAATGATAGAGAAAATCCAGTTGGAACTCAACTCTCATGATTTGGCAATAAAGGACAACCAACATGCTTTCGTTAAAAATCGATCTACTGTTTCAGCCCTGATCTCGATGACCCAGAAGTGGTTTGACGTAACAGATAACTCCAATATTGGAAGAAAAGGGGTCCATACTACGTTCTTGGACTTCAAAAAAGCATTCGACCTTGTCGACCATAGAATTCTATTAATAAAATTAACGGAAATGAATGTATCGAAGGCCTTCTGGTCATGGGTGAAGTGTTTCCTTACAGAGCGGACTCAAGATGTGAATTTACATGGTGTTATATCTTCAAGCGCCCCCTGTCCAGCTGGAGTCCCGCAAGGCTCCGTTATTTCTCCAACACTGTTCAATATTCATATCAATGATTTGGAAAACACGTTAACAAACAACCTTACAAACACGCACAAGTATGCAGACGACTGCACTCTTGATGAGGTCGTTGCAAACGGAGCCCTTTCAAATATGCAGGAATCGACTAATCAAGTGATGAATTGGGCCAATGATAATAGAATGATGGTGAACCCCAAAAAAACTAAGGACATGTGGATCAGTTTTTCCCAATCCTCTTCTGAACCCCCACCTATACAAACGGATGGAATTGAAATAGAAAGAGTAAACTCCTTCAAACTTCTAGGTGTATGGGTGCAAAATGACTTAAAGTGGAATACCCATGTTTGTAAAATAACAAAAAGAGCAAATAAGCTATTATTCCTTCTCAGAGAGTGCAGGAAATCCTTCCTACCACCCGAGATTGGTTTATTAACATATACGTCGAAGATCCGGCCAATACTTGAATACGCCTCTCCAGTCTGGGGCGGAATCCCTAAATATCTTGAAGCAGAAATTGAACGTGTTCAACAAAGAAGCTTGAGAATCCTAGGACTTGAGAAAGATACCCTCCCTACACTAAAAGAAAGAAGGGACAAGGCAACATGCAACGAGCTGAAAAGGATCGTGGAAGTCCCAAAAAACCCATGTAATCGTTTCCTATCTGGTAATAAGAATCACACTTACGAACTGAGAAGGACCAGAGACAGCACTCCAAGACAGCTCTCAAAAACACACAGGCATAGTACGTCTTTTATCCCAAGGGCGTGTAGATTAACCAACTCATGAAATTAGATCATTGTACATATGTATATAAAAACTTCTTAAACTTTCTAATTTTTACATTCTCATAGGTTATACATGTATTTTAGTATATATTTTTAACTTGTAAATCCATTGTATTTCTATATGCCAAAGATGGATATTTAACAATAAAATTTGTAAAAATTTGTATTTAACAATAAAATTTGTAAAATTTGTATCATGAATATATAGAATCATGCATGAAGTTGTGATATGATATTTTGCAGTTAAATTATTTTTGCCGCAGCATCTTTAATGCCACATGCACATTAGTATCAATGGTATCACTGAACAAGAAAACATCTTTCTCACACACTGCTGGGAGCTGCTGCAGCCGTCCGCTGCAAGCTTGACTTTTATTTACACAATAACAGCCAACACAGCTAATCATACATAGCTCTGCAACGTAATTACATTGTTTACATAAAAATTACTGAGGATTATTATTACTAATTAGTTATATAAACGTCCACTGCATCTAACAAGCTAAATGACTATAATTAATGGGCGGGTGGGTGGGGATTTATGTCAAGCATTGCGGAAGGAAGAACATGTGCTGTCTTAACCTGCACCACCCGAACACACCTGATTCACAATCGGGCCCCCAGCCTTGTGCGAGAAAACATTTTCTGCTTCTTTCGTACCTCAGCCAGCAGAAAATAACACTTCTCACACACTGTTGGGAGCTCCTGCAGCCGTCCACCGCAACTGACAACGATAGAGCTAGTAATGTCATGCACTCTGCATAGACTTAGTAACAAGCAACAAAGATTTAACAGACTCATCAATATAATTGTTCTTTGCCCTGGCACTGCACCAACCCCTTTGTCTCTGAAGCAGTCTATCAGGAATACCCGCTGCTGTTGTTGCACCACCAGAACGTAGACTATGCAGCCCATAACACTTTGGGTCGAGACCTTCCGTCTTGTACTCATTTTTGAACAACTGGTTAGCCCTACTGTATGACATCGGCTCCCTGCGGAGTTTGTATCCACTCTTTGTGTGCTGGATTTGTCTCCAAAGTGTGGTCTTCGGATCATGCCCCCCCCTTGTGCCAGAAATTTTTAACCACCCTTACTGGGCTGGGGCTATCGTCTGGGCCGAGCAATGAAAACTTGCGATCCTTCTCCGAACTGGTCATTCTTTCTCTTGGACAGTGATATTGAGAGATGGGTTGATGCAAATATCAAGTCTTCAGGAGTAATATGACTCAGGTCATCCCACTGTAGGAACCTGTAGAACTCCAGGGCAATGAATGTAGCTACCTGAAGGTCACCAAGCGGCCCACCTTCCAGGCTCCAGATAATATTCTTAACATGTAAAGCTGACACAGAGTCTTTCTGGACTTTGGTTTGGCCAGGATTCTCCTAGCTGCCTCGGCAACCTGTTTAATAAATGTGTTTTCGCTTGGTTTAGTATGACCGTAATACCCAATCAATCCTGTATATTGCTGAATTAATGCATGAAACTGAGCATCCTTGTTTTTTGGGGGGAATCAATGTACAGGGCTAATGTAACGTTACTTGCCAGGATAGGACAAACCCCATGAGAAGACGCGCACCGTTTCCAAGCTCTGTATACATTCATGTAAGTGGTAGGTAACCAGTTCCCGGAGCTTTATCCTGCATCAGTACTGCTGGCAGCAAACCGGGTAGCTGTTTAAGTTCAGGATCCTGAAACTGATCCAGCTCTCAATGTTTATGTCATGGGGACACTATGCTAAGAAATGACAAATTCACAGTTAATATTGCAAAGACACTATATCCATATCCATGTGCACTGGTTAGGCCAAACCACTATTAGCTCACAATACCTTACTGCACATGTGCGCATACAATATAGCCATACAGCTTACAGCCATATTGCATTGCCATGCAGCAATATGTTACAAAGTACGCCTCAGCTACCTAGCACAAATGTCATAACAGCTGTACATTAACTGGGTACCTATGCCATGTGGCTGTACCATCTACAGTTGGACAATCTCCCATTGCACTGTACAAACTCCATGATAGCTGTACTCCAATTAATAGGTACCTGTGCCATGCGGCTGTACCATCTACTGCGCAATCTCCCATTGCAGTACGAGTGCCATAACAGCTGTCCTCCAATTAGGTACCTGTGCCATGTGGCGGTACATCTATTAGACAATCTCCCACTGTACAGTACAAACGCCATAATAGCTGTACTCCAATTAATAGGTACCTGTGCCATGCAGCTGTACCATCTACTGCACAATCCCCCATTGCACAGTACAAGCGTCATAACAGCTGTACTCCAATTAGATACCTGCGCCATTCGGCTGTACCATCTATTAGACAATCTCCCACTGTACAGTACAAATGCCATAACAGCTGTACTTTAACCGGTACCTATAGTCCAGCGGATATGCACAGATATTTGAGAAAATCATGCACTTTGTGAAGAAAGCACCAAATTCACAGGAAGTGTAGACTTTAACATGATAATGAATCTTAGATATGGAGGCATCACCAAAATTGATGCTGACAGCTTAAAATTTAGGATTTCTTATATTCTCTTATTAATCTCTTGTACAATTAAAAATTGTGAAATTGCCGGTTCACATATAGCAAAAATGACATGCGTCATTAGAAAGCTTACAAAAAACTGCATATAAGACATTTAAGCAGTTACTTTGATTTTCCAACTTCTCTGCAGTTATGAGCGGTTGAAAATATGTTTTAGGGCTAGTGTCCAGGACTTTGGCAGGATTTTTGCCTATTTATCACGTTTTTAAATAGCAATAACTGGAACACCGCTTTGAAAATCAATCGGCCGTTTAAGAGTCTTATATGTAGTTTTTTGTAAGCGTTCTAATCATGCAAGTCATTTTTGCTATATGTGAACCTGCAATTTCACAATTTTAAACAGTAATAGAGTTTAATAAGAGAATATAAGAAATCCTAAATTTTAAGCCGTCAGCATCAATTTTGGTGATGCCTCCATATCTAAGATTCATCATGTTAAAGCCTACACTTCCTGTGAATTGGGTGCTTTCTTCACAAAGTGCATGATTTTTTACTTTTCCGCTGGACTACTATGCCATGCGGCTGTACCTTCTACTATAACAATTGTTAGCTGTACAGTGATGTCCATCACCATGCGGATGTAAACTCCCATTAAATTAAACAATATGCAGCAAAACTTCTATTTACAAGTGTTAAACTGTTTATTGTATAATCAATGTTTACCAAAGTTTAATCTCAGTTCCCATATCTGAATAGCCTTTACCATACAGAACTATTAATATCTTTAAAACAGTCAAATGTTACTTCAGGTTCATCACCACAAGTTTTCTCAGTTATCGTTTTGGTTAGCTTGGGGTGTACTACCGATAACAAATCAGGCATTTGCTGTACGACACTCTCTCTCTCGCGAGGTGACCAATGAAAACACATCATAACGCTCATGCAGTTGTCACACGAAGACTGCGAATATGATGCCCTTATGTCGCCTCCAAAACTGTGCCTTTCCGGAGCGCATATTTGCATCTTTGGTTTGAACCATGCCACTTCGGCTGCTTTCTCGTTTTTTTTAGAGCCCGTTTGATTCGTTTTTCATCCTCTGAGTCACTAGTGAGGGGCTCGGCTGTGTAACAATGAACTGTGTCCCACCCATATTTTTCCTCTAGCAAAATATGTTTATTCTGTTCCTCAAGAATTCTCTTACCGTGGGATAATTCTGCGGATATTTCCCCCATATCATGACTTGCGAGTATTTGATCTACATGCTCAAGGACGTTCTTATTTGGTTCATACTGTTTTTTGTTCCCTTGATATCGAAATTCCAGTTCAGCGACCTTTGGAACTGCTGTGGAATTCAACACTTTCGACTTCATCATGGAAATCTCTGCTGGTTTTCGAGAATCTCTTTGGCCCACGCCGGTGGCTCTTCTGATCTACTTTGAGGCCTTTCTGCGCTGTCTTGCGAGCGAGAACTAAGTTGATTCCTTAGACTTAACTCAAATTTGAATAAACACAGAGTGAAAAGATTTATGTCAAGCGTTGCGGAAGCAACAACAACATGTGCTGTCTTAACCTGCACCACCCAAACACACCTGATTCACAATTGGGCTCCCAGCCTTGTGTGAGAAAACATTTTCTGCTTCTTTCGTACCTCAGCCAGATGAATATAACACTTCCATTTTGAAGGTAAGAGATGTTAGAAATGACTGTGAGGAGGGTGCTGTCATTTGTCACGGCATCTCCAAACTTAACAATCTTTTCTCCTTCAGTGCAGATGAATGCAGAGTTCAGGTTACATATTTCGTCCCCTGCTCCACAGACCAATTTAGGGAACTTGTATGATCTTTGCAGGTCAATTTCTCAGTCTGGATCATCCTAAAATGTTAAATGCATCATAACATTTTTTAAGTTGAACAGTGAAATGGAATAAATGGCTATAAGCAATTTTTGACATATAACAACATCTTGCATGAGGACCAGTTAGTTGTAAGTGATGACAGCCATCCCAATTAAGTCAAGGCTTGGAACACGAGTAACAATTTTAATGTAGGTAAATATATAGACAGTTATTCAAGTTCCAGGTATATTTACATGCCGTAAATCCACAACCCGCTTCGTTAACATAATAGAAAGGTAAAGATACCTGGTTCCGATTCACAGGTTGTGAAATAGGATTATCATGCAAGCTGCATGCATTAGGGTACAGGCTCCATTAGGGTACCCATAAATGGGGGACAGGGTATCTTAACCTTTATATAATAGTTACAGTCGTAAAATCAATTATGGAATCGTCATAATTTGCAAATCCTATGCACTTGAGCAAAATAGGTAGTATTACTGCTGCACAAGCAGTTTGGAATGCTGTATTTCAACAGGAAAGAATAATATATAATTCAATTAGTAAATGACGTCACCATTGTTTTATTGTACTTTACTTGAAAAAATGCCTGCTTAGTCCTATTTCTTAAAACATTTTTCCATAGCACAATAGACGATCTGCATGAACAAGCCCATGCCTCGAAAATAAAAGCTGGTCACAGACCGGTAAAATTTCACTGTTTCACCGGCAAATATCATCACCTGGCAGACATGCATGACCGATAAAAGTACGTTCAAAATTTCCAATTTTCGAAAGAAGTGCATGTCCATCTACAGTGCAGGCTAATAAGGGCAACAAAGTGACACATCTTGTCATACACATACGATATACCGCAAGCATTGTGTCTAAGGGCTGTTTTCCAGTTATGCGTTTTTCACACATGCGACAGAAAAGTAGGAATCTTTACAAAACACAAATATACACAAAACTGAATGCTGTCCTTTTATAAATTTAGTTATTTCATAAGTAGGATATAAAAAACATGTAACTGGAATGCAGCCTTAAAGCATGCTCGCAACTCAAACTACAGTTGTCATTTGCAACTTAATATATTACTTGCTAGTAAACAATGTCAATGTTATTAGTATAATGATTGCTACTACAGGTTTGATAAATCCCATACTTCTACTTTGTATACAGATACAATTAAAATACACAATTGTTTCTAAAGTCATGAGTCACACAAAAGATGAGGGGAGAAAAGAAGCTAAGGAGTGTTGATGACGGGGTAGGTATTTCTTGAGTTAAACCCTTTGAGTTAAACCCCTGCCACACCCCTTTTTCACAGTGGGCTTAACTTGGAGTCAATTAACAATTCAAGCATTTGAGTTAAGCCCCAACATCTGGTGGATGTAAACAAGTGAAACGTGTATACTCACAAAAATATTGGTGAATATTAAAGGAGGAAGAATGTAAAATTTAAGCAATTTTAAGAAAAATATTTTACTAAGATCTCTGTTGCTTTGCCTGCAGTTTTATACAGACAATGATATTGTGAAATAAGAGAACTCAATATGGATTTGTAAAGTTGTAAACAACAGCTATAATTCAGGGTGGCCAATTACAGCTTTAAAAAATAAATAATATACAGTATAGCGGCACTTGCACAAAGCAAATCTTAGCCTTTTTTAGGCACATTCATATGGAAGTGAAAAATTATTGTATCTGTTATCCACTTATAATACGGTTTTAGAAAACTAACATTTATGGTCTAAGTCAAATTTTAAAAAATAAAGTAATTCCAATCCCAACCCTTCAGTGGCGTAGACAAGGGGGGGGGCTCAGCCCCCCCCCCCAATAGGCTGAAGGACTGCCCTCAGGGACGTAGCGAAGGTGTGCTAGTTGGGGGGGTGCAATGCAGTAATTTACCTGATTTTACACTATTGTAAAAATTTACCTGAAATTATAAACCCCCCTATCTTTGCGGACTGCAATGTTGTGGTGCATTTCTCCCCTGTACAGTTATTATGCACCTAGCTAGATATTTAATTACCTACATCTAATTTTACAACATTTTTTCTTGCTTTTTCAATCAATATAATATGTTTGGGTTATTTTTGTTCTGCTAAATTAAAGAGTATAAGCCACACAAGAAGAACACAAGCATATACAAACCGAGTACTCCGAATAGCACTCTCCACTCATTTTATCAATTAGGTAGTTAAATCTAAAATACCATAATCACATTGATTAGTTACCTCTCGGCCTGCCAATAACTATAGTCAATTTTAACAAGTTTTTGTCGAAGCAGTCCATCCGCCTTTTTTATGTAGGGAAAAGGAACGACAATTGTGAATTGCAAGGGTGGGTTGTAGCGAAGTAGTTGTAGTTCGCTACTGTAGCGAACTACAATTTTTAAGTAGCCAGTAGTTTTTGACTACTTTTTTAAAACAGTAGTTGTAGTTATAGCGAACTACATTTTGCCTAAAAGTAGCCAAGTAGTTGACTACTTTTCAAACAGCGAATCGCTATTCGCTACTTTTTAAAATTGTTAGCAACTTGATAGAATAGCATGATATTGAGACACGGTTTGCTTAAAATCAATACTCAATAGTCAATTTGCACTCCTGAACACTGTAGTGCTTACAAAAATGTTGCTTTGTGTTTATTGTTGACTGTTAGTCGATTTGTTATAGATTACATTACAGCCTGAGTTAGTAGATGCTCCAAATATAGTAAAACTAAAAAATATAGTGTAGCGAAATAGCGAAATAGTTCGCTACATTTTTTAAGCAGTAGCTGTAGTCAGTAGCGAACTACCTTTGTTCAAAAGTAGCAGTAGTTGTAGCTGACTACATATTTTTGAAGTAGCTGTAGTTAAAGCGAACTACAAAAATTTTGTAGTCAACCCACCCATGGTGAATTGATGTAATTTATATAATAAAGATAATTTTTAGCTGAACTAGAACTGCGTTTCCCTAAACAATGAACAATAATGTTACATAGTAGTTATTTGTTAACTAATGTTTTTAACCTTCAATAGTAAGTTATTGTTTTCAAGCAATCGCCAATCGGCGGTTTTTCAAGATTGACCATTTTTTCGCGATCACAGTAACATCAAAGACATCAGTGATATTCTTTTCAGCGGCAAGGATCATGCAATCATTCAAACGTTTTCCAGATATGTTATTGCGTGAATAACTTTTTACAATCTTCAGTAAACTGAATGATCTCTCATTTTTCACAACGCCAACGGCATGGGCGGCTGTCAGAAATAGTTTATAAAACTTTGAAGCCAACTTGAAAAGACCATGCTTTTTGGCCACTTTATAAGAGCAATGTTCGCAGCGATCGTACATGACATGGGTTTTGCCTGAAGACCTTGTGACTGACTTTCTTCTTCCATTCGTCGTGTTCCGGCTTCAGCGCATTTTTAAAGAAAACGGACAATTCGCTGTGTAATGCTGGGCTTTGTTCCTGATGTTTCTGGATGCAAATACCTTTAGGAACGGATTAAAAGTGTCCTTAAGACCAATTTGTTTCTCCATTAATTCCAATAATCCTCGTTTTTGTTTGCCCAAAAATCACAAAAAGTCACATACTTAGGTTAACATCAAGTCTCAAGACGTAGTTGTTCACGTTGTTCACTGTGTAATAAATAATGCATAAAGATTATACGTGTATAATATAGAGAACAGTAAGGCTAGGACAATGCCCTCGTAATGGCTCATTCAACCTAAACTATTCAACAATGTTACAAATCTACGAGACAAATCTTTAGATATTAGACGAATATTGCGTATATATCGGCCATTTGTGTAGAATTATTAACGAACTATTATATAAGTAAAAATATGACAAAATACACGGCACACAATACACATCACACATGTGCGTCACACATACAGACGTTCAAAATTTACATCCGGATATCATATCCCTGTTGTTGTATTAATCTAAGCAAACAAATAATTCTATGTCTTCTATGTATTTCAAATACACTGTATTACTATCAAATAGTAGATGAAATTAATATAATTTCTTGCACGTATACCTTAACCTTGTGTGTAGAGCCAAAACCGGAAGCGCATGTTACTTAGCGAAAAAATTATGTCTTTTTTGCCGATGGAAATAGTAAAATAGACAACATATTCTTTTCGTAAAATAAAGCCTGGCTACGTTGATAAAACGGAAACCTCTGAACGTATCAACGTATGAAGCCATAAAGAATTAAAACCTCATCTATTTTCCGCATTTCAATCCTCTATTATTTGCCTGTTTTTGTTATGGGTTTTCAAGATTTTTTACATGATTTATTAATGCCAGTTTTTCATAGATTTACCTGAAATTTTCAAATCGTCTTAGTTGGGGGGGGGGGGGTCACATTCCACCCCCACACACCCCGGTCGATACGTCCCTG